AAAGATAGATAGATAGATGGCTGGAGAAACCCACAGAAACAGCTGACCTGAACAAGAGGGAGCTCATGGACCCCAAACTGATAGCTGGGAAACCAGCATAGGACTGTTCCAGACCCCCCTGAACATGGAAGTCAATTAGGAGGCCTGGGCCCTGCTCCAAATGGTATGACAGACTTTGAAGATCCCCCATGGAAGGACTGGAACTGACATGTAAAACAAGCTTGTTTCTAATTTAAATTAAAAAAAAAACTGAGGGAAAAGAAAGAACGAAAGGAAGGAAGGACAAGGAAGAAAGAATAAACAAGGGAGAAATAAAAAGAAAGTTGCTCCTGAAGTAATATGTGAACAATTTTTTGCATGTCCTTTCAGAAAAGTTTGCATGTTATATGTATGTCTTTGCATGTGCCACATGCAAGTATATGCCATGTATGTGATTCTACATGTGATTCTCCACTTTAGGTATTTAATTTGAAATCAGCACTATATGTTAACACAAATAATTGACTCATTAACTATTGCCTGATATTCTGATGTATGTCTGGAACAAAGCATTCTCCACAACCATTTTATGTTGATAGATATTCCACCACACCCTGTGGGAGGGAAAGGTTTTAAATCCTGGTAGATACAGCCCTAAGGTCAAAAACAACAAAAAGTCACTATGAAGCCCTTCACCTGTGACAGCTTTCTCTCTGAATGGTTGGCTTAGTCTGTGAGATACATGGCAACTTGTCTTCATCCTCAGCTAGGAGGTGTGAGATAGTTGTACCTTCTAGATCCAGGTTCTTCTTGTTAAAAGTCCTCAATACAAACCACCAAGACAGAGTGTATGTCAACTGACATGCCCTGGCCTGGTAGGAAATTCCTTCTGTGGGGCATCACACTTCTTTCCATCACAGAACTTATTGATAAAGGTGAAAAGCCTGAGTCCTGTTTCTGGCTAATCCTTAGAACCAGGTGGGGTTTGGTAGGCCAGGGCTGAGCATACTGGTCCTCAGCATCTTCACCATCTCTTTGTTAGCACAATGTCAGGAGATAGCAGCCCTCTTCCTTGCCCCCCCCCCCCCGCCCCAACACTGTCAGGGGCTATGAGATCATCAGGCATTAGCCTTAGCTGGTTGGCACCCAGGACATTGCTGTGTCCTGATGCTGGTCCCAGGACCAGGCCATACCTGTGAGGGCTAGATGAAGGAAGCTGATGAGGGAAACCATCCAATCCTTAAGTGTCTCTAAAAGAGCCATGAAGCTTGGGCAGGGATAAGACATTGTCATTTATGTCCCCTATGGCCTAACATCCCCTTCCTCCAAGCCCCACTGCATAACTTGCTATCAGAGAAGTGCTTACAAGGTGCTTAGAAACCCCTGTGCACCGAGGGTTAGAAGGGGAGTGTTATGTAGGAGGAAGGATAGCAGCCCACCACTATCTTCCCAGCACTTATCACCCCAGAAGCCATTCAAGAATCTGCCTAATTTCTTCTCCATGGCACCCCAGGGCTTGCTCTACCCCAAAAGATGCCCCCTGCAGACTTCCCAGTAGATCACATCAGGGGCAACTTCCTCGGTGTGACCAGTTCCCACCAACTAGATACTACCAGAAATCTACACCTCTCCCTTTGATCTCACTGGTCAGGAGGATGTATATACCTATGGACTGACTCCTTAACAAAGTGCCCCTCCCCCAGCTTCCATTCACTTGGGCTGCTGCAGCAGCCCTCTCATCAATCCTCCACCTCCCTTCAGTACTCCTCAGGGCTGTGGGCTTAAGAGCCCTTCATGTGCTTTGAACATAGGAGTTGACAGCTTGAGTTCTTGTAAATTATAACTGACTGTGTTCATAACAGTAAAAATTGATACTAAAAAAATGCTTTTCATAACTACTTGATAATATATCACATATAAAACATCAAAAGCATAGCTACCTGTGAATGGTAACTCTGTTTGGACTTTACACTTTAAATCTTAATGCCTGCCACAGTAGCAGTCAGACCTGCCTGGGTTCTTCTTTATCAGTCCATTTATGGAGGAGCCTTCCCATGACCTCTGGAAACTCCTTGGTCACCTTAGAGAGAACAATACAAAGGGAAAGGGTAGCTTACTGTTTGCAGTCTCCAGAGCACACCTGAGGAACCACTGCTATGCCATGGGGTCCTGCCCTGCATCATGGCCTTTACACTGGCTGCTTTATCCAGGTCCTGGGTACCTGCCTCCCAGGGATAGCCCAAGCTCAATGCATGGGCTGCATCCTCCAAGATCACTCTACTGGCCAGGGCCACACCCTTCCCCCACCACATTGCCCTGGTTTATTTTCTCCACAGGATTCAGTTCCTTACCTAGCTGACGTGGGGGATGGGGGGTGCGCGCAGTTCTCGAGCACGCCTGGATGTGTTTTCTTTTCTCTGTGGAGAATGTCACTGTGTGGAACTGTTCTGGTCACCACTTCAGTGCCTGGCAGTGGCTTCATTTGGTATTTGTCAAATGAAATGTAAGGTTGCACTTGCTCCTATCAGCCTTTGAATAGGTCCCATCCAAAGTTGTCTTTGTCAGAACACCAAGAAGACAAGGATATCCGTGCCTCAGGTATCTGGGGGCTTAGTCTGCCCAGGGAACATAAGAGGACCAGGACCCAGACCATCATCAGCACCACCATCTAACTTGTGTTGCTAGACTGGCATGTGTCTTCCACGCAGGGTTACCTTGGTGATAGTTTAGGGTGGCTGGGTGTTACAGAACATGCTCCCACCTCCCCAACTGCCTTTCTCAGCTTTGCAGAGCCAGACTCAGGAGAGCCAGGTGAAGGGATAGCCATTGACCTGCATTCTGCAGCATTCACAGCTACCTTCTGGGGCCTCAGGCTGCTACCTTCCAAAATGATACCGCAGGCTGTTGACTAAGGGGATTCTTGCCAATTCAAAGGGTAGAAACCAACTCTAACTGTGCATGGGCAACTCTCAGGGACCATTGGGACACTTTCCTTTCTGTCTGTGTCCCAAGTGAGGCACAGGCCAGTGTGACTCTTCTTCAGACTCTGAATTTGATTACATTTGTTGGAAGTATGCTTCACACTTTCTTGGGATAAGCAGTAAGATGGAATATAAGCCAGGCTAGAAGTTAGCAACTAGCTTCTCTCAAATGTTACTTTGTCCATTTGACTATGAAGTTACAAATTCTGTGTCTATATTGAAGTATCTGTTCTGTATTGATGGCTTTTGCCACCCAGTAGTCAGCTTCCTAGAGCAGAGATTGGGTCACCTGATCAGGGAGGGAATGTTAATGGTAGCCAGCATGGGGGCAACAGCTGCTTGAGGAGTGCCCCAAGTCCTCACAGCAGCTACTTCCAGAATTTTCCATGGCCAGAAGGATGTGCACAGCCTACCCTTGGACCAGTGTTTCCATAAATGCCTGGTGAAGATCCCAGAGCAGAAGCTCTTCCTGGCAGAACTTTCTTCTTATGACTGTGTTCCTTGCATGGATATACCACATTTTGCTAATTCATTCCCCCCACTAAATAGACTTTTTGGTTGTTATAACTAGGGACCTTTATGTGTAGGTTTTAGTTTCAAAGCATAAGCCTAGTTAGCAGTGGCCAAATGATTATTTAATGTTTTGAGAGCTGCCAAACCATTTTCTCAGTCTCTTCAACCTTTAGCTGAAATTGTTTATTTTCCATTTGCACTATGGCCCTTCATTGGAATGGAAGGGACTCGAAGGAACCTGTTTCTCTAGGCAATGCTCAAGGGCACAGTTCAGGCAGAAGAAGAACCCAGGGCATGGGTATGTGTTGACTTACCATCGATCAAGCCTGCTGTGGGCTAGCCTTTTTTGTTCTGTTCAATTCTG